AGGTACCGTAAGTCTAATACAGTACTGTAATTTTATACATTTCTTGTGAAAGAAACATTTTTTATTCAATGGCCATAAAAATTATTTATATTAATGATGTCTCCAAAGTTCAACGAAGTTTTCGCAGAAAAATAACTTATCAGAAAACGCGGCCGTTGTTTGGTGCGCTGCTCCGTGACGAAAACAAGCTTAAGTAATGGCATCGTCGAATGGTGCACACTCGGTAAGTTATCCTACAATTTTTCGTTTATAGCATAGTTTATACGGATTATTCCCAAAAAATTATACGTGTTTTGGAAATGTTGAATCTAATTAGTCTAGGAATCGATTAATTTTATGGAAGAAAACCTTTCAAACAGCCGTAGTCCGTAAACTTCACACGTGTCGGGCTGTGATTGGCAAGGTCTCCTAAAACATCAATTTCATAAAAAACGGAACATATCTACCGTCTTATAGGGGGTCGACTGTACCTGAAATAGCTGAAGAACAGTTGGAGTTTATCTCTGGTAAAGGAACTCGTGAACAAATCTTGAACACTCAAAAACTCATTGAAAAATCCTATGAATTTAATGTCAAAGCTTACCTTTGTTTTGTAGACTATACCAAAGCCTTTGATTGTGTAAAATGGCACAAATTGTGGCCTAGAACATGGAAGTCCCATGCCATCTTATTTCGATGATCAGAAATTTATATGAGAATAACTCTGCAAGAGTAAGAGTTAACAAAACTATGTCTAATACATTTACATCTGAAGCTGGTGTAAGACAGGGATGTATTCTTTAATGTTTATTCTGAAATAATCATGAGAAGGGTATTAGATAACTGGGATGGAGGCATTTCCATCGAGGGCTGTAAAGTTAACAACCTGAGATATGCTGACGATACACTTATAGCATCCAATGAATCAGAACTTGAATATATTATGAAATGTCTTGAAACTGAAAGCAGGGAATATGGATTGCTGATTAATGGAAGTAAAACGAAAGTTATGATAATTGATTGTTTCTTGACAGACTAAGGAAATTGCAGGCTATAAGGTGGTGAATGAATTTGTTTACCTTTGATCACTTCTTACAAATAAAGGAGGATGCGATAATGAAATTAAATGCAGAATTTGCCTTGCTCACAATGCAACCTCTAAATTATTTAGAATTTGGAAAGGTTATGCAATGACTATTTTTAATAAACTAAAACTCATAAGAATGCTTATTTTTCCATTTGCCACTTATGCCTCAGACACCTGGACAATAAATGCCACTTCTTGGAAGAAACTTGGAAGATTCCATATTTCAAAGGAATCATCCTTTGAAATATGGACGTATAGAAGAATGCTGAGAATCTCTTGGACAAAGTACCAAACAAATTGCTCCATCCTAAATTAACTGAAGATCACAACATGCCTTACTTACACATGCCACTAAAATATACCAATCCTACTTTTGCTTCTTGGGACATATTTCCAGATGCAAAAATGGATTTGAGAAACAAATCCTAGAAGGGAAGATCAATGGCAAATGCCCTAGAGCAGTCCAACTCGCAGCCCGCGGGCCGCATGCGGCCCAAGGCAAGTTCCAATGCAGCCCAATAAACGTGTAAACAAAACCGACAAAATGTTAATTTTTTTATTATCTATTTCAACGGCATAAACTCAAAAAAGAAGTTTCACAAAGCCGTAAACTTTTATTCGTATTTTATTCTTGAGTGGAAAGGAAATATTTTCAAATACAGTGGTGCCTCGTATAACGTATGCCTCGAATAATGGACGCTGCGAATAACGAACTTTCTGTTTGGCCGTTATGTGACTTGAGCAACGGACTGGCTGCAGACAACGGACTTTCCATTCGGCAGTTACGTGAGGCGACCAATGGACTTTTCTACGAACAATTGCGAATGATGTTTCCACTCTTTTGCCGTTGCCAATGACAATCTGCTATTTTTATAATATATTAGTATTATTAGAATATATTATCAGTATATCTGAAGTACAGAGCTCCCGTTGGGATTAGGCTTGCTCCCTTGTTTATTACGTACAGTACATCACCTCAGTGCAAGGTATTTACATTTATTCTACTGTTGTGCAAATCATGGCTTCTAAAAAAACAGAAAAGTGATTTCAATTGAAACAATGCAAGAAATCATCAGAAGTGAAAGTTGACAAAAACTTCCTTGTCGAATAGGGAGAGGTTCAAGAGTTTACCAACCCTCATTATCCAAACAGAGC